AGCTGGCTCAATCTCTAAATGAGTTATAGAACTCCTGCCCCTTCCTTTCTGGTTAATTTAAACTATTCTGAAAAACTGTACTCTCATCATTACATATGAGCCTCCCAATATTTGTATCCTTGAAAATTTCCAGTAAGAAAGTTTTCTGTAGGAAAAATTAGTTTTATATTTTTTGCCATATTGTTGTTTATACCAAAATATAATAAAGAAGCACAGCAACTCACCTGAAAAACTGCTGAGCATCCAGGGACTTTCACAATTCAAGTACTTAATTCTTCTTTATCGCCCTGTGTAGTCCAACTCTGTTGCCATCGCCAAGATGTTTTATATTTGTGATATTATACTAACAGAATGCATCTTGAAATTCATAAAATGATAAAAATCTTCTAATGTAATATTATTTTCTGTGGACATGGACTCTCAATTGTTTGAGCTTCCATGTTTGTAACAATATTAAAGATTTCCAAGATATAAAACTGAGTCCTACATTTCTTGTAAAGAGACATCAAAAAAAAAAATTAAATCTTTGAGAAGCAGTGAAATAAGGGTTAAGCACATTCACCACCAAGTAATAAGCAGCATGGGTGGACCACAATATTCCATAATTTTTTAAAAAAAGGTAGTGCAATAAAAATTTAATCTCAGAGAACTGTGGAAAGCTTTCTCCTGGCACACTTGTGATGGAGAGGAAGAAAAAAGTTTGGATATATTTATTTCTTCCTCTAGGTGACCTTTTAAAGCTTTCAACAAAACTATATCCTTTGGAAATGCGAAAAAACTATGTTCTTTTTTTCCCCTTCTTTAAATATATGAAAAAGACAAAATATATGAGGAAAACCAAAATGAACAAATTGGCATATTTTATGAAAGATTTACATATAGTATTCATTTTGCTAACATAAGGGCAAGTGTAGAATTATAAACTTTATCATAAACAAAATTAGGTTTTCAGGATCCTATGCTCATTACTTAAAATACCACAAATAAAAATTTGTTCATGGAAAAATAGAGATATTTTGAATACTAAAGTCCTTTATTCAACAACACATAAATTTCACAAAAACAACTTTACTGGGCAAATCAAATGTGTTTTTTAAAGTTTTTTTTTTTTACAGTTTTGTACATGCCCCATAAGTAATTTTCTTTAATAAATACACTTTTTCCAAAACTGCTTTTTTTTTAATTGCACAAGCATACATACACCTTACACAAATATCTATTAGAAAATGTAATAGATAACTGCACAGTTCAGAATAGGAGGACACTGTGAAAGGAGTACACTTTGTGGCCCGCGCTCCTGAAACCTCTCTGACTTCCTTGCAGTTGTGAAAATGGAATCCCTCCTAACAGAGTAGCTGTCTTCTATTCACTAGGAATACAGATCTCAGTGTGAAACTGCCAAATGTAATGAAAACAAAATCTGAAACATTTAGCTGTTACATGAGAGCCAACTGTTTGATATCACTGTGATCAAAGACCCACTACAGCTTTTTGCTGAACATATTTGACCCTGAATGGTGTGTTCATTTAACCACTTTCCTTTTTTCATTATTTGATTACAGATACTATCAGCTTAAAGACTTTATATGCTTTAGGATTAATTGTACAATTTATAGGCCAGGAGTTCTGAATAAAGGGAATATTACTTCCTTTTAGTGATTGCTTAATATTAATTCATAGGAAGCCCACCATCTCTTGCTCCCTACAAATGTGTTTAGAAGAAAGAAGTTGGGTACTTGGAATTAAACAACCAGGGGACCTTTCACATACTCTTACAATGGAGGAAGACTTACTGTTTTGTTTTTTCTCCCAAGCATAGATACATGTCTACCTTGTATACATGCCTCCACTTGTACACAGACAGGTAGAATCTATCAGAAAGCCACTTTAATCTAAAGGCCTGAAAAGAGATTTGCATGATGATGTTCTTGTGACGTGAGGTGCTGAGTGACAGCGGACAAGGAGATTGGCGCGCTGTGCACCAAGGCCCCAGGGACTTTCCGCGCTCTCTCCAAACGCTGACCCAATGTGGCACCTCCTCATCTACACCCACACAAATCAAGACGCCTGTGTATGTAGGCCTCGCCTACAAAGCTTTTTATTTGGCTTATTGGGTAAGTAATTGTTAAGTTGTATTGATAGTGCACCAGATCTATCATTTAATTGTATAATCTGAATTTCTTGGTGCTGACTAAACATACAGTGAGAATGTTAAAAGTTACATTTCATTGGTATTTTAAAGTCATGAAAATGGAAACCTTTGAATCACCTCCTCAGGGTTATAATGAAATGCTTTACAAGTTCTCAGTACACAGACTTAGAAAAAAGAGAAATGGAGTGAGAGTAATATCTTTCTTTAACATCATCAATGAGAACTTTTATATGCACCCTACATTATATAAAGAGTTTTAGCAAAAACATAAAAAATGGGTGGTGTAATAAAACAATGTCAAGAATAAGAACATATAAGAGAATGAAAGAAAAGCTACACGTTTCCATTTTAATAATCAACAGATTTTCTTTCATTAAAAAATTGAATTGACATGTAAAACACCACATTTTACAATATACAGATTCATTAGTTCTTTAAGAAAACGAACAAACAAAAACACATCAAGACATGCAACACCAGCATGTATTTTAGACTCTCTCTCGTACATTGCTATGAGATCTTTACATGTTATTGTATGCCTAATGTAGCCTGAAGAGAAAGAAGTTTGTTTCACTTCCATAATAACAATCATCTTCCACAAAGCAAGGCAAGCTTACCATACAAATGTGAAAGTTTCCACTTGTAATTAATTAGCAAATTGGTTAAAAATAGGTAAAATAAAAAGGGAACTAGAAAGAATTTATATAGCTCTCGTTCCCACAGCTGAAATAGAAATTCTAACTAGAAACCCTCAAAGGAATATACAGCAAGTAGAAAGCTATCTCAAAACTAACATACAGCATGTTTTAGTTTGCAACTATTTTGTTCTCTTCTCTAAACATGAATAGGTGTAATAGATAACGAATCATCCTAAAAAAGGCGATTGGACCATAATCGTAGACCTTGCATTCATACTCTAGGCAAGTTAGAGCACATTTGTTTCCCACATTAGTACTTGTTAGTAACTTATCCAACTCTCCCTCCAGAATTCTTACGAAGAATGCTCCTTCCACGTTTTCAAAAATCTCCTCTGTCATTTTACTTCCCGTTCAAAACTACAACTAGCCTTTTGAAATTATTTATCTGCTAGTCTTTCTAAAATTTTGCAGTCCTTCCTGTCACCCTCTCTCTTCTCAAGTTATTTTCCTTTGTATGATCCATTTTGCTAAAATTTTTCAAAAGGCTAAAGGATGTCATAGGCTAAAATAACTGGCTAGTGGATAAAGAACAAAAAAAAAAAAACAATGACAGCATCATGGCAATTTTGATACCCTATGTGCTTTTGCTAAACTCTCTTTTATTGCTGAGGCTGAAAGTCTCTATCATTTGACCAAATGAAAGGAAATAAACTTCTTAGGTATCATGTCATCACAAATAATATTTGTCCTACTGGGACAGCCTTAGGAGCCCTGACTGCCATAAAAAACCAGTCCTACATGAAAAGGTAGCCCAGGTCTTATGAAGCATTACCCCTTTGTGTTTGGGGGCTGCTTGCATATACAGAATTCTGCAGACTAGGGCCCTGATTTCTCAGGAATGACAGCATCATTGACTGACAAGAATGGGAATGGAGCAATGGAACATTCCATCGAGGGCCTAGGGGAAGGCCCGCTGGTCCAACTGGGAGGCTATGAGAAAAGAAGATAACAAAAGATTTAAAAGCCTCACTTTTAGGAGTATGTGTAATTCTTTTTGCTTAAAAATATACCTAACCATGGCTCAATGCAGAAGCCTTGGTGTGTTCAAATTTTAAAACAAAGCTACCCATTTAATATCATACATGGAATTAAAACATTTGGATACATTTTATTAAGTGTTTATGTTTTCCTACCAAAAAAATCAGGCAAAAAATAAACAAACAAAAAATACATACAGCCCTCGCTAGGCCGGTTAAAACAAACAAACAAACAAACCAAAAACCCCAAAAACCTCAGTCATGGATTTCTGCTTCTAAGATATGATACTTTATTCTGTATCCTAGAAAACATTTAAAAAAATTATACAACTGATTCTGCATGTTCCACCTACTCAGAGTACTCCGCCTTACAGTGCAACCCAAGACAAGTCAACTACACTAAGTATTTGGGAGGTATACCCTTCTGTACAACTCGTTTGTAAGCAATGCAAGTGCATAACCACTACTCTAATATAGTGCTCAAAAGATTAATTGAAACTCTCATCACATCTTCCCCTCCTATAACAATACAACTGCAGGTAATTGCTGGATGCATCATAATCTTTTCTTCTTGTAAAACTTGGCGTCAAGTCTCTATGGAAAGATGCACGGCAAAACGTGCCACTGCTGTTGCTGCTTCTAGAAACAACTGGCAAAAAATATTTAAAGCTAAAATTTATTGCTCCAGATTTAACTCGCAGAACCATACTGTGGTGTACAAACTGTTAATCTCCATAGATGCTCAGACGTGATTGTCTCCTTGTGTCTAAACACACAAAATACAAGCTGCTATCTGTACAGTTTACAGTACTGAAACACATATATTTGAAAATGAAGTATAGATATGTACTTTGCAAAGATACATGATTTTACAGCAGGGGTTTACCCAAACTTATTTTTTACAGCCACTTTCAAAATAGACAACAACTTCACTAATATAGCTAAATTACATCAAATAATCAGTGTATTGAAAGTAAATAGACTGGCCAATTCCCCAAGCTCCCAGGTTATTTTTATAGGTCTTTTTTCTTTTCTTTTCTTTTCCTTTTTTTTTTGTGAAGAAACCCCTATACATAAAATGAAAATAATATCTTCAGTGGTGGACTAAGCAGTTTCTTAAAACAAGACATTAGTTTGCCCTTCACTTCCAAATGCCTTGAAAATAAGATATACTACTGCTTTAAAAGAACCATCGGAATGCTTCAGCGCTGGGAACAGGTGTTCTCTATAAAAAAAGAGCAAGAAAACAAGTTAAGCTTTCTTTCTATGCCAATATAAAATTAGAATTTTCTCCTTTATACTTCAGCAATATTTTTAGTCAGCAAGATTCAACATAATGACTTGTATATTTCAGCATTTAACAAACAATTAATGTTCAATCTTAGAACATTACAAAAACCAGAATATTGAATTTAATGCTAATTTACTAAATATAATGATGAAAACACATTGGTTTAAGAAATAGAGGAAACACCGTCTTGAACATGGATAGCAATCAGAATAAATGGTACGGTTCATGCTATTAATCTACAACAGGAAGACCAGCCAGTGAGTGGTGCTTAAAATCTGTATCTGCTACATACACATGCGTCCTCTCTAAGGCTGATGTTTATAAATCAGTGAAGTGATTTTTTTTATTCTGATGAGTTTATTTTATGACAGGACTACAATAAATATTATAAAAATATTTCTTCTATTATTTAATTACTAATGCTAACCATTCTTACATATAATCTAATCAAAACAATACTGACAAAATATATCACTATTTTAAAGCCTGCATTTTTAATAAATTAAAGTCTTATAAAACAAATTTATCTAACCAATGACACTCATTGAAGCATAACTATCTTCTTGTACCATAAAAATACTATTGTATTACAAAGAAATAACAAGCTAGCACTAAAAGTTTGAGCAATCCTTTAAACAAAAAGCTTATAGTCGCTATGTTTTGTTGTTGTTGTTGTTGTTGTTAAATAGTAGATAAGCTATTGAGTTTTCCCCTATATAGTAACATTACATCAATTCATCATGCCAAACTCTCTTTTATACAACAATCACATGAGTTAATATTAAAGGTACATAAGAAACAAGCTAAGAGTAAATTTTATTATAAGGGCAAATGAAAGAGAGTTAATTTCATTCCTTGTTAGACTAGTCCAACAAGCCTGTGTAAACTCTAAGATGGTTGCTGAGAATAAACAAGTATATTAATAAGTATGTTGACTGTTACCAAAATACTGAGTAGGAATAAAAGAATATGTATACACACACACACACACACACGCGCGCACACACTCACACACACCCCCTTGTAGAAGGTTAACACATAGTGTTAACAGCACTTGAATTTCATATGTCAGAAAATACATTAAATATTCTACTACAAATACTTTTTGATAATTGGGGTTAGCTTTTATTTACTTTCTCACTCATGACTTACTTGATTGACATAGTCCTACTGTATCAATGTCATCTAAAAATAAGTGTATTTATTGATGTAAATTGAAATTTAAATATATAAAATAACCATTTTGGAGAGTAAAAATATTTTTTTTATCTGTACTTAAAACAGTCAACACAATAAATTTCAAAATGAATTTATTTTCTAATAACAAATTTATTTGCTAAGAACAAACCAATGGTATCTAAACCAAATTTGCATATAGGTATATATTTCTAAAAATATTTAACTTGTGAAGTATTTTCTAAAAGCACAAACAAAAAGGTCCTTTGCTCCTACAAAAATGGTACATATCTTACTAATATTTTATTCCTCACTCCCCATGGTTCCATCCCGTCCCTTCCCGTCAGTTCCCTATGTACACCTGGATCCCCACTGTTCGCTTGATTGTTGAGAAAAAACACTGTACTGCATTCTCAAATTAACTTTTAGTGATATATGTAATAATTATATATGCTCTTACATTTATTTAATCATTATTAAAGAAACAATATGAAGTAATAAGAAACATAATATATTCATTCTAATATTATGCTTTACATGGACACACATACACACACACACAAGCAAGCAGTAATTGAAAACTTAGAAGTTTATACCAGATGCTAACTTGCTGCCTGATGCCAACTAAGAATATATTTTATTTAAATATGCATACTTATATAAATGTAGTCATTTTTAACAAGATCAGTTAGATCCAAGCATACTCATGCAATTAGAGATTCACATATGAAAAATAAACGTGTGCATATATATTCATACGTATTCACATTTACATGTACAGTATATGACATAGAGATGTCAACTTACTCTCAGATGCCAACTGGAAACAAGAATGTAAGTATATATTTATATAATTTTGTATCTTGATAAACATATATGTTTATGAAGATAAACAAAAATATATGGAGTACATTTTTTAAATTAGATGAACTCCTTATGTCTTAGATACATTTTTAAATTTCTTTTCCAGCTCTTTTATCTGCATATGACCCTATTACTCAATCTTACTTGTAATATTTAAGAAAAAAGCAAGCTTTATAAAATGCCACCTGAGATCAAAGGTCATTGTTATGAGAAAAAAAGATAAGCACTTTTCAATGCTTATTAGCACAAAAATTAGATAACACAATGAGAAAAGCAGAGAGCTGGTTTTCTGTATTGACATGAGCTGTTACAAAATAGCTCTGCTGCGTGCACCTATTACTGTGCATATGTTGAGATCTGCATGTGTTTCCTTATACAAGGACATGGGCAATTTACTGCTCCAGGGGAAGGAAGAAAAGTAGGGAAGCATCTCTTAAAAATGATCTCTCTCTTATATTAAAATATTTGAGGTCATAAAGCATAAAAATGATTAGTTGGGTAATCACCTAAAATATGTGAGGAAACACACACACACACACACACACACACACACACACAGGCACATCAATTAGAACAAATTTTGAAGCTATTCAACCAGAAACTTGAAGTGAGAGTTCTCTACCAGTTTTATTTCAGGGTTAAAAAGCATCAAGCTCCTTAGTGTCCCATAGGACACACAAAACGAGGATGCATATCTAATCTTGTGCCCAAGTTCTGCTGGGCTCACTGGAAATTTACAACAGGCCTGGACTAAGTTCTTTTCAAGATGAGTGAAGCAACATTGAAACATATTTGGTTAAATTCACAGGCAACGTATTAGATTAAATTACAGGTTTCTGATTGTATTAATTTGGGGATGTATCTTCTCTGGTTTTGTCAGTTAATGAGGTCATCTTTGTCAGAGGACTTCCATCAACTTGGGGGGTTATGCACCCTGACCAGTTACCTTTAGGTTATATAAATTCAAGAGTCCCAGCTGGGGAATCACACTCTTGATGAGATTACAGTGACTTTCTGGATCTCAGTGATGCTTGCAGGAAATTATTATCCTGAGTGACAGGAAAGCCAGATTTCCCAGGAAGAGAAGGAGGCGAAGGAGGCTGGAGGTAAAGAATAGAATTGAGTTGATCGGCATTGTTTAAGGCAGCCTTCACCGCTCATGCAGGTGCAAACACCGAGGAACAGCAGTCTTGCTCCCAAGAGGCCTGGGGAGAAACCTGCAGCCCCCGTTCCTCCTTCCTGCTCTGCTGTAAAGCGTGGTGTTCCAGAGAATTCATCCCTGTATGAACCAGATATGAAACAACCTTCAAGCTTAAAGGAATGCCTTCTGTTTCCCTCCTAAATAACTTTAAAAAGCCAGTGTATTTCTTTGACTAGAAGAATGATATAATCCAAGTCCAAGTACATTGTACATTTACATTTTAAAAATATGAATACATATCCATGTCTCTGGAAGAAATGTATTTCAGTTCGATTTTCATCAAATCAGCAATGAAATAGAAACGACAAAATAAATAAGACTCCCAAAAGCTGACACTTTAAGGATTAAGCCTAAGTTTCTTTTTTTTTGGTGTCTGTTAGGCAGTCATGAGGACTATGGTATCTTCAGGCTGATCAGGCCTCTACATCTTGTTAAAAATATGTCAAGGGTAATAAAAACTCCCCTCCTAAAAAGTGAACTTAGAGTATCTATAACTGTACATATGGAGATATGTGGGATTGGCTATTCATATCTACATACAACGTGTAAAATGTAGAAGTATTCAATACACAATAAAGTGAATCATTTTAATAGAAGAGGCATGAGTTTTCAGAGTGACTCAGTGCTAAAATATACTTCGAAAGCATCAGCTATAAATTGAGATAATGATGACATTAGCAAATACTGTAACTAAAGTTAAATATATCTTTCCAATATTTACTCATATACTTTCTAATCAAATATCTCAGTGATTTGACTAGGCTTCAGAATTCTACTGTGCAACATGGTGGCTCTAATGCAGTGATTTCCAAGCTGAAGTAAGAATTTTGGGGTACTGTTATTCTTACACTAATCAAAAATTAATTTCCTCCAATCCCATTTATTATTAATTAAACATAAGTCATCTAATCATTTTCTGATTCCCACATATAATGTTTTTTCCACAAAAAGCAAAGCAATTTGAAACTACTTAGCCAATATATCCTCTTGTAAACTATTCTGAAATATTGTTCTTACTATGAGGAGCCCACAGGAAGTTTTTAAACTCCTGGGCATCCAAGGTCTTGAAATTGGAAACACCCAATGTATTTGATTTGCTTCTTCATACTAAAATTGAAAACCTTAATGAACCCTGACTTTTCCAATAAAAAGCATCTGAATAAATATGATAAAAGATAATAGCAAGTATCATTGTTTGCTCTTAGATATTTGGTTATATTTGTTTCAGTCTTTGGGGTGTTTTAGATGAACAAAATGAAGAGAATCCCTGATGGTGAAATAGACTGCTTTTTTATTATTTAATTCACAAAGAATGCTAAAATATCAAGCTATATAGGTTAACTACTTTACTTATGAAATTTCAAAACCTACTTGGATAAATGGAAAACTGTATTCTATATAATGTCATGAATGTCAGTACACACCCATATGCGCATTAACACAAATCATTGAATAATTAAGATCTAAAAATGATACCTAGCCAATGTTAGAGACTTTCCAAAATAGCTTTAGCAGAAATATTTTTCTATATCCTATTTATAAATAGCATGAATAAAAAAATCATAATCCAGCAACTATAATAGAATTATTAGCAAGCACAGGCTGGTAGGTCTGAATTTATGAGATGATAATCTCACATTTCAGTAATTTGCTATTATAAACCAGAATAACTTTATATTTTAATAATACCTTA